AGCGCACTATTCAGATATTGGAGGATATGTTACGTGCTTGTGTCATTGATTTTGGGGGGTTCTTGGGATCAGTTTCTGCCACTGGCAGAGTTTGCTTACAATAACACTACCAATCGAGCATTCATATGGCTACATATGAGGCTTTATATGGAGACGGTGCTGGTCTCAGGTGGGTTAGTTTGAGCTGGGTGAGACTAGACTATTGGGTACTAATTTGGTTCGGGATGCTTTGGAGAAGGTTAAATTGATTCAGGAGCGGCTTCGCACGGCGCACTCTAGACAGAAGAGTTATGCTGACCGGAAGGTCTGTGATGTTGCTTACATGGTTGGGGAGAAGGTTCTGCTCAAGATTTCACCCATGAAGTGTTTGTTGAGGTTCGGAAAGAAAGGCAAGTTGAGCCCTCGATATATTGGGCCTTTTGAAATACTTAAGAAGGTTGGAGAGGTGGTTTATGAACTTGCTTTGCCACCTAGTCTATTGGGTGTTCATCCAGTGTTTCATGTATCTATGCTCCAGAAGTATATCGAAGATCCGTCTCATGTTTTGGATTTCAGCACGGTTTAGTTGGATGGTAATTTGGCTCGGTGGCCATCTTGGACCGACAGGTTCGAAAATTGAGATCAAAGAGCATAACTTCAGTGAAAGTGCAGTAGAGAGGTCAGCCAGTTGGAGAAGCTACTTGGGAGACTGAGCGAGAGATACGGAGCAAATATCCATACCTATTTGAGACTCCAGGTATAATTCTAAACTCGTTCGAGGACGAACGTTTGTTTAAGAGGGGGAGAATGTAACGACCCGACCGGTCGTTTTGAGTATTACAACCACATTTCCCCATTTACTGCTAATTTATGCTTTACAGTTGTTATGTGACTCGCCGGGGTGATTAGTTCGGGTCCGGTGAGGTTTTGGAATGAATTGGAATACTTAGTTTCAAGGTTTAAAGCTTAGGTTAAAATAGTGATCGAATGTCGACTTATGTATAAACGACCCCGGAATAGAGTTTTGATGATTCCAATAGCTCCGTATGGTTATTTTGGACTTAGGAGCGTGTCCGAAAAATTGTTTGGAAGTCCATAGTTAAATTAGGCTTGAAATGGCTAAAATAGAAATTTAAGTTAGAAATTTGACCGGGGAGTTGGCTTTTTGATATCGGGGCCGGAATCCGATTCTGAAAATGGAAATACCTCCATTATGTCATTTATGACTTGTGTGCAAAATTTGAGTTCAATCACACTTGATTTGCTAGGTTTCGGCATCGAATGTAGAATATTCCGACGTCGTTTCTTCGAGAATAAGTAATATCACATTAAGCAAATGAGATCCAAATTCAGATTTGATTGAAGCATTAGATCCGTATTGAAATTTTGGAGTCATACCAAAAAGAATCGTCGAATTCGGATATCGTATGAGAGAGTTATGCCCATTTCCGTGTCAGAAATAATTTTCCGTCGCCGCCAGCGCCCAGGGTAGCGTGGGGCGCTAGCCCTGGTGCTGGGAATTTTTGGGATACTGTAAATGGCTCCACAGGAAGCGCCCCACGCTACCTGTGGCACTCGAAAATGTCAGAGGCTCTATAAATGGGTTTTTTGGTCATTTTTGACATAAAAATAGTTAGGGAGCTCGGTTTGGGTGATTTTCAGAGGCAAACTTCACAAATTGGACTGGGGTAAGTGATCTTAACTTGATTTGGTCCGTTATTCATGAATCTAACATTATTTCCAGCACTTATTTCATGATTTGGGGGATTAGAATAGAAATTTTTTAAAAATTGATTTGAGGGTTTGAAGGCCGAATCGGAGTCGGAATTTAGAAAATTTTGTATGGTTGGACTTGTAGTTGAATGGGCGTTCATATTTTGTAACTTTTGTCGGGTTCCGAGACGTGGGCCCCACTGTTGATTTTTGAGTTAAATTCGGATTTATTTGTGAAATTTAGCATTTTCATATGGAATTGATTCCTACACCTCGTGTTGATTGTATCGAATTATTTTGACTAAGATTCGAGGCGTTTGGAGGCCGAATCGCGAGGAAAAGGTTTATTGGAATAAAGAATTGATCGGATTGAGGTAAGTAACAGTTCTAAATTTGGTCATGAGGGTATGAATCCCCGGATTATGTGTTATGTGATTGGTTTTGAGGTGACGCACATGCTAGGTGACGGGCGTGTGGGCGTGCACCGTCGGAATTGTGACTTGGTCAAATTCCATGGAATTGTATAGTTGAATAATCTGTTGATATACGTACATTCTCTACGTGTTAGAGAAAATTGAGCTGAGACTCGTATTGAAAATCATGCTTAGGCATATGCTGTTATTGTTGGTACCCACTAGGGCCATTTTGTGATTGAATTATATGCTCAAAAATTGTAATCCCACACTCAGTCATATTCATTCATTTCATATCATATCTCAGTCTCTGTTGCTATTTATTGAGGCATCATATCATTGTTATTGGACTGCTTATCATGATTTCTGAGAGCCTGAGATACTATAGAGGTTGATGACTGAGTGATGCCGAGGGCCTAACTGTAAGGATATTTATGGGATCGGGCTGCACGCCGCAGCATGTTTTATTGATTTATGCCATGATTGGCTTGATATAGCGCTTGGGATGAATGAGCCCCTCCAGAGTCTGTATATACCCCCAGTGAGCGCATGTACCTACTGAGTGTGAGTGCCGAGTGATGAGTGACTGTGAGGAATGAGTGACTGTGGGGAAAGAGTGACTATGAGGTTGGAGTGAACTGGAGGACTGAGTGACTGTTACTCTGAGAGGATGTATTGATTTCATTATTTGCTGCATTTCAGTTGTCACATATCACTATTTTGGAAATTTCGGAAAAATATTATTTTCTATTTCGGTCAAACTTGATATGAAATTTTAAATGTTGAACTTGAGTGCATGCCTACTCTTTTATATTGGAAAGAACTGTATTTGGACTTAGCTGAGAAGCTCGTCACTACTTTTAGTTCTTTATTTATTATTGTTACTTAATGATTTGGTTGTACTCATACTACACCATGTACTTCGTGTGCAGATCTAGATGATCCCGGATATAGTGGGTGTTGATTCTCTCTCACGGTTGATTTTTCGAAATTCAAAGGTAGCTGCCGTATTTCGCAGACCTTGTCTCTCCTTCCCTATCTCTTATTTATTGTATTTGGTCTTAGACTATTATAGATCTTGTTTTCTAGACTTGTAATGTATAGATGCTCATGTACTCAATGACATTAGGTTTGGGAATGTTTGTATCGGAATTTGCTTGATTTTTGGTATTGTATTAAACATAATATTTTCAAACTTAAAGGAAATCGTGGGTTATTGATGTTGTCGGCTTGCCTAGTACTGAGATAGGCGCCGTCACGACAGGTTAGGATTTTGGGTCGTGGTACTTGTTTTGTTTGCTGCTTCCTAGTGTTCAGAGGTGTAATCCATCCCTCCTTATCAATTTGCTGGTTAGCCTTATGTGTCTTCCCTTTCTCCTCCTTTTGCCCAGGGTTCTGTTAGTTCTCTGCTATCCTTTTCGCTTATGTAACCTGTTTTCCTTCATTTGTTTCCTTCACTATGATTGGCATAGGTCCCTTTGTTTCCTCCCCATTAGGCTTATTCTTCTTCCTGCAGTTTTTATTAGTGTGCCCATATTTCTGGTAGTACTTGCACATCGTAGGTCTCCAGTCATATTGCACCCTTTGTTCAACCAGATTTCCCTGTTCATTCCGGAATAACATCTTTTCAGGTAGTTTGCCATCAATGTCCACCTCAATAAGAAGCCTAGCAAAGCTCAAACCCACCTTCTTTTATGTGTTTTGGTCCACCATAAGTGATTTTTCGATTAAACTTCTAATTTTACTTAGTCCTTTGGGACTCCAAAATTTAAAATCCAATCCAGGTAATTTTACCCAAATGGGTACTGTATGTAGTTCCTCTTTCGTGAACTCCATCTCTGGGTTCCAAGCTTTCACTATGAACGATTTATTATTAAAATAATAAATGCCTCCCTAAACAGGATCATCCCTCCCAATTACAGAGTCAAAACTTATCACTACTATCCCATTTTTCAGCATTAATATCTTATTTATCCCATATTTAGCCTACAGACGTTGTATGTAGCCATTTAGTACTGAGAAGGGGTGTGTGTGTGCCCTAACACATAACAAACAATAACAGTTTGCCAATACTCAATTTCAGAAGTTATGTCATCTACTTCAATTTTACAAACAGGTACCTCATCGATTATCTCTGGCGTAACGAAATCCAATTTGAAACCAGCATTTGATATCTTGTCGATGTCGAAATTGTCCCAAACTAAGCTCTTTCTGGTCGATTTTCCTGATTTCTCCAGTTCAATAGCCTTTGCTTCAACTTCTTCCGCCCATGACATCTTCCCGTTGCTATTAGATGCTTGGATTGCTGATCATTCCTCTATAATTTGGGAATTTTCCCTTCCTGTACCCTGTTCTTCATTCACCTATTTTCTTTTCTCCGATGCTTCTGGGTTGCTGTTTTTCGTCTTTTGTGCTTAATTTTTCTGTCGTTGTTGCTGGTTGCGTATTTTCTGTGCTTGTTCCTGTGCCATTCTCACCTTCTCCGGAGTAATTCGATCTCTCCTTCCCATGGATGGCGTAGGTTATGCTAACTTACGCCCAGAGAGAAACATTTCCTAGAGAGAGAAAGTTTTTCAGCCTTTACTGTGAAAGTTGGTTTTGCTCAATTTCATTTATTATTTCTTAACATAAGAGTTGTAAAAATAAAATTAAAATTTTTGAAACATTTATATTCTTATTTAACATTTTAAAATTAAATTTCTGAAAATTAAATTAACTAAATCAAAGCGGAAAAATTAATATAATTTAATTTTGATTATACATAATAAAATAAGCGAAAAGTTAAAATANTAATGAGGTCAATATTTGCCCTACCTAAACCGGTGTCATTTAGTCATCGCGAACTAAAACAGCTGTGGCAGTAGCGTAAATAATCGAAGCGTCATACCTATTGGCGCCACATTCAATCTCCCGCGTTCCCTTCTCAGAACCTTAAAATTCTGGAAACCTTAAAACCCTATTAACCAAATATAATAATACTAGAATTCCCCTACAAACCTTAAACCTGAACTGAAAAGTCGCCGCCGATCGCCGATAGCCGGAGAATGTTCTATTCGCTGACACTTTTGGGGCGGAAAGGTCCATTAGCGACCGTATGGCAGGCAGCAACTATTCAAAGCAGGTTGAAGAAGTCTCATTATGCTTCCACTAATATACCCTCCACTGTTGGTTTGTTCTCTCGCTCACTCTTTTTTCCATTTAAGTTTTCAGTATATAATTTTGTTGTTTTCTAATGTGTCTTTTTCATTGAAAATTTTCCCCTTTTTATTTGCTAAGTATATATAATTTTTCCTTCTTATGGGAACTTTTTATCTATTTTTTTTCCTTCCACATTCATGTGGTTATCTGATTAGTGTTTTGCTGATATCAGTTTGGGTCTTTTTGCGAGATAAAGGTTTGTTCTTTTACATTAAAGATTCTCCTAAGTTTGACCTAAGTTGCTCCACATAAATATATAACAGTAGCTTTGATATGCTTATTATAGTTGTTTTTAAGAGTTTGCTCAGTTATACTGATGCTACTTGTTTACTATTTATTTCTAGAGTTAATCATGTTTCCGGACGTACCCCTTGCACTACGATGGTCTGCTCAGCTTCTACTTGGAGTTGTTAGGATATACTCTAAGCAAGTTGAATACTTTCTCCAAGACTGCAGAACCTTAGAAACGGGAATAAGAAAGTCCATTTTGTCTACAAATCTCAATCTACCGGAAGATGCTCTTCATGCACCATACCAATCCATCACTTTGCCAGAAACATTTGAACTTGATGCCGTCGTTTTTGATGATGATGTTGACCTGAATAGGTAATCTTGCATATCAATTACTTTTTTAGTTTTAGTCAGCTAGAGTCTGTAGGAAGTCACACATGCATTTTGATTTCCAGGTTTGGAGATACTCATCTTAAAAGTTACGAAGAGACAACTTTGGAAGGTATGTATTTTCTTGTTTACTTTATTTCCTGTTTTAATAATACCTTTTTCTGTTTCATTTTCATTAGTGTTGATATTCTAAATAATGAAATTCTTTGTCATGTAGATCAAATACTAATGCGTGAAGATCAGTACGTAGCTATTTTCATTGATGAGGTGGGTTTATCTTTTGCTTCATGTTTGCAGGGAAATTTGGATTTATTCACTTACATTGACATCATTTTGATTAAGAGTTCATTTTTACAGGACATCGGGAATAGTTTGTCAAAATCGGGTGAAGTTTCTGGATTAGGTGCCATGCCTATAGAGACTGAGTAAGGATCTAATTGACTATAAATGTAGATTGTTTCCATTTATTGCCAAGTTTTGAATAAATGTTTTCTTTGATGCTGCAGTTCTGATCCATCAAACCTAGATGGAATTCCTGCTCAATCCCAAAATTCTTCTCCTAAGAATCTGGCAGCACTAAACGGAGGAACTGTTGGCGGTGACATTCCTCAAGATATTCCAGAAATTGAAATCATGCGTGATGCCGTCTATGATCATGGTTCTGAGAATGTTCCCTTATGGTCAGATCAATGGAATGATGTAATGGAACCAGATAAAATTCTGGAGGAAGAGATCATGAAAGACAAGGAAAGTGCAAGCCTAGTCGTGGAAGAGATGGTCGAACGAGACGAACCACCTTCTGCTACTTCAGCAGAGGTTCAAGAATTCACTAATCCACAGATATCTTTTGGTGGGTGAAAAGGTCTTATTCCTATAACTCAAATTATATATGTCATGTATATTACTCTGCATGACTCTCCGTTTTCATGGATATTCAGGGCATCAGTCACCTGATTTATTACTTCGATCAACACCACCTCCTGAGGAGCCAAAAGCAAGGAGAAGAAAGCGAAAGCTACTCATTGATGAGGATGATATAGTATTGTCGAATGAGTATGTTAGTGTATTATCATCTGATTAATAAATAGATTTCTCTTCAAACCATTAGTCTTTCTGACAATGTGTATCATGTTCAACACTACAGTGAAATTGGAAGGCTACTAAATGATACCAGTGCATTGAAACGCCGGAGAAAGAATGCTCCTTTGTCTTCTTTGGACATATGGAAACTAAACAAGAGACATACAAAAGATGGAATGTTATTTGAGTCTTTATTAACCGGTGGGTGTATATATCATAGAGCTTTTTATCTTATATGTATGAGTCTGAATTATCTTCACCGGAAACTCAGCTTTTGTAATTTTGTAGGAGTACATAATGATCTCTGCAACATCTACAAGGAAGACTTCATTTCAGCAAAAATCAAGACCGCTTCCTCACTAGAGGATCATGTAGAACCCAGCGGTAACCAATCCCCTCCACCTGGGAATGATCTTGGGATTGAAATCGAAAGACTACGTGATAATCAAGAATTTGCATGCACCAATTTGTTGTCTGAAATTTTGCCTTCACCAAATAAATTCATTTCCTCTCCACAAATGCCCACGCCCGACCCAGCAGCATCTACTGGGCGTGCTGGTTCCGATATGGAGACCCCTTCAACATGGTACGGAGAGGGACTAGATGTGGAGAATACCATTCTGTCTGATATTCCTGAGTTTGATAACTCTGCTGGGGTATGTTCGATCATGCTTGCTTCCCCGTTAAATAGCGAAGTATGAATCTACTTTTCTAAATGTCAAGATAACAGTTTCAGCAGATTAATATCATCTAGAGTAATCTCATTAGCTCCAGATTTTCATTGTTTATTTATTGTTGAAGACTTATGTTCTATTTTAGGCTAGTTTTTATAAAGAAAGAGTTATACATTCGATGCGAGTGAAGATTTAGGGTTCATATTTGAATGTTCTAGCAGTCATTCTCATTTAAGGTTTGACTACTACATGCATTTCTATGGTCAAATTTTGTTAAGCCAAAATGACTATTAAACTTAGTTCAGACCTGTTTTCCACCTGATAAATTGATAAATGCTGATGCAGGATCTGAGTTTTCTGGACCAAGATGACAGGACTCCCACCGGTAAGCTAAGAACCTCTATTTTTTTTTTTACTTTTTAAGCTTAAGGATTGGTTGTAATTTGGATAATGTTGGTCAATTTCATGTGCTATGACCGTAGCGTCGTATTTATCAGTTTTGTTGATATAACATTTGCCTGAAGCTTGTATACCTATATGTACTAAAATCAGAATTTCCAGGAACTCCTGAAGTTGGTTACTTATCACGTAAGCAAGGGGGAACACCAGAGTTTGACACATTACCTGCTAGAACAAGGTAACACTTTGTAAAAATTATTTTTGTTAATATTGGTTTACTTTGCTATCACGTGACCAAGAGGTCACGGGTTCAAGCTGTGTAAACAGAAATATAAGGTAAGGCTGAATACAATAGATTCTTGTGGTCCGGCCCTTCCCCGGACCCCGCGCATAACGGGAGCTTAGTGTACTGGGCCCTTTTTTTTATTTTTATTGGTTTACTTTGCAGAATAGTCTTTTAATAGTATGTTTGTAGAGCTGTGGCTCAATTTTTGCAATGGAAGTCACCGGTAACCCCCATCTCAGAAGAGACTGGAGATCTCAGCTTAAATACAATTGTAGAAGGCAAAAACAGGAAAATATGTGCCCGAATGTTTTTTGAGACTCTGGTAAGTTTTAATTGCTCTTACACTACTAATATCATCTTTAACTGGGTGTGATTGAGTCAAGAAAAAGGTGTGTGTATATATATATATATGATATGTATCATTTGCTTAATCAATGATCATATTTAGCATAATTTGTATCTATTGTTGAGGAATTATTTCATAAGATCTTTCACTTAATTGTTTTCCTTCTGGAAATTGAACATTCCAGGTGTTAGAGAATTGTGGACTCGTCGATGCGAATCAAAATGAACCTTATGGTGATATAACTTTGAAAGTTACTTTCAAACTGAAGGAACAATTTTCAAGCTGAGGTTATTGTGTAGATGTATATATAGAGGTAAAATTTTAGTTCTATTTTTTACTGCAGTATTTCTACTGTTTAAAGAAATCAAAGATACAGTCTTCTTAATAGCTTAGTCTTTGACCTGTCAATGAAGAGAGCCCATCGACTACGGGTTCGGCTGAACCCAGTCACTTTAATCCAGATCGTGTATTTGTCTTACGAAATTCATTGAATATGTAAGAATTGTTAATTTAGAAGCCAGTAACTTAAAAGGATTAGAACCTCGAACTCATAAATTCCAAATTCTTGCTTCGCCTCTGAGGATAATAGGTCTTATTGTGCCTCTAAAGCGCGCACACTCACACTCACACTCACACTCACATATGTATGCATGTATATATTGCTTTTCTGACATCTGAATGTGATTTTCCTTCTGTAAAATGTAGTTAAAATTACTGTGCACTTTTCTTTGATTATTTTTCTAACAAATCTAAATGCAGTCTTGTTCTTTGAAATGCAGCTAAATCATTGTCCAGACATACATTTAGCATTCAGTAACTATATGAAGATGGATAACCGTGGCAACCATTTTGTCTAAATTATTTGGAGTATCAAGGAATTTAGCATTGTGCTGCTCCTCTATCAAGTCTGCTGATTCTAAATTATTATTTTCACAGTTCCTATTCTTTTAGGTATAATTGGTCCAGTAACATTAAAGAAAACCACTATAATAAAGTCCACTGTATATTATCTGCTAGTAATAAGTTAGACTTAGCCCATATAAATATGTCTTTTTGAAACTACATGGAACATTTTAACACACAAAAGTACATAGTTAATAGTAATAAGTTTCAGTTTTCATCAATTTTGTTCCCTAGTGAAAGCTGTATCGTAACTGAGCAGGAAAAAGGAGAGAACTATATATAATCTGACCGATCTCAATTTGATTAGTCCAACCAAATTAAAGTACTTTCTCCACACAAAAAAAATCCATATAATGTCCCTTTCCTCGAGGACGCCAAGGATAATTTCACAGTTCAGATGTACATTATATATAGACTTTTACAAATAAGAACGAAAAGCTAATGGTAAAAATTTATCCTCATTGATTGTTTATGTTGGATGTTGGTACGTGTTTGCAAATAAACTTATTTTGTTTAAACCATGATTAATTAATATGTAGTTTTACGTCACTAATTCACTTAATTATGCTACATTGATATGGTTTGGTGTAGAGACCCGGCTATGGAGATTTAAGTCAAATTTCAATCGGCATTAGTGCATATATAAAAGCACACAAATTTCGGTCATAGCTAGTATAGGCATATATATAACAGTAATTTTTTTGTCATTTTTCCCTTGATCAAGACCAGTTTCCTTAGTTTAAATCCACCATAAATGGCTTTTGAACTTTTTGACTTTTACTCTTTTTCGTGTCTCTACCGAAATTTTGTTGTGCTCGGCATTGTTCGATTCGGGTCAGACTCACACGACTTTCTCCAAAAGATCTCACGCTATTTTTAAGATACCCCTACCCATTTAAAATACCCTACGTCTTATATGTAGGCTCCCAATCTTTTCAGCTATCAATGTGAAACTTTGTTCGCACACCCAACAATCTCCCCCTCGAACTAAGTTCCACGTGACCCATTACCACAATTCACGGGTCTCCTCATCGAACTAAGTTCGATGGGGCCCATTGTCACGATACATGGGTCAATTTTCAAGATTCACTGTGTGCCGCTCACATTGTTAGAGTATTATGACAACTGAAACCCGCAACTAGCTTCTTCTTTTGTGCGCGCCGCTTCGCATAATTACTCTGCCATTTCTATACTCGTCCCGCCGAACTTAGGCTCTAATACCAGTTATTGGTCTAAAACGGCCAAATTATACTATTAACATAATGTGATATTGTCCGCTTTGGGCTAAGCTCGCACGATTTTCTTCCAAAAGGTCTCACACCACTAAGAGACCTTTACACCTTATATGTAGGCTTCTAAATTTTCAGGCTACCAATGTGAAACTTTGTTCTCACACCAAATAGATTTAACATGCATTAATTAAGCCTGAATACTTCCATCTCTTTGTTTATAGAGTTCAACTGTTAATTTATACACTGACACTTTAGAATATTTCTCACATTAGAAGTAATTGTAAGTCATTTTTCATAATAAGTGAAAATAGTAACATAAATAGTAAGGTGAGTAATCTTTTAAAAAACATTAAATGATAATGATGATGTGAATTTTGTACTATTATACAATTGGCTGCACCTGCTGCTTCAGAAGGTAACGATGTTGAAAAGATTGACACTTATCCAAAAGGTCATTTTTAAAGAATCCAATGAAACATTAATCATCGTCACAAGTACTGAATTCAACTATGTTTTTAATTAATGGAGCTTCGTTTTAGGTCAATCCAAACATTAATTAAACAAGGATATCTGAATAAAGGTGACGTTCCAACTTTTGCTACTGTTGCAAATTGCTATTGCTCTTTTTTGCTAAACTGTGCTGATCCCAAGAAAGCTTTCTTTTAATATTTATTTCAACTTGGTGGGCTATTTTGAATTTAATTAATATACTACAAGTTTATCCTAAAAAACATTTTAAATAATAGTATATTTTGGAGGTACAACATCATTTGGATCTGGATGTTAAGGATTAAAGTAGAAAGTTAGTAGGTAGTTGAGTTTGAGACACATTATTTGTCTCATCATATCATTCACGTATTATTTGATTCTTCGATTTCTATTACTAATGCATGTTGTTACCCTTGCTTCGGCTGTCTTATTACTTTGCTATTATTTTGCTGTTAATACTGTTCTTGTTTTCTGTTTACTCGAAAAACGGATAGAGTTGAATTTATACATAGTTCTAAGGATATGTGGTATAGCTTAATACAAATCGTGAGGATAAATAAAAATATCAAATATGGATTGCAAAGAATGCAAAATAAATAAGGTTGGAAAGAAGATGATTTCTAAAAAGAAGATGATTTCTTAAAATAAGCAAGATGAATCAATTAATGAAGTTTTAAATAATAACTCTCGAATATAGGAGAATATGGTGCTTGAATTACAATGTAAGCCAAAAAACTGCCTTCTACAGAAATATATCCATCCTCTTTATACTGGAGGATCCTACTTTTTATAATTAAAAATACATAGTGGAGAACCCATGATAAATCAACTTTTTCCTAATTTCCGCCTAGATTTTCTCCCTTAGTGTATTCGCAACGGCTCTTGTCTGTGAACCCGATCTCGATCAGCCTTGGTGCTGGTCGGTGTTGCTTCTGGAACTCGATATGGACTTGGGATCAGGTGATGATTCAGACTCGATCTCGGTTGGCCTCTACCCCTTAAGCTCGAAATCATCTCATCATAGTTCGATTCGGACTCCAGCTCGATAATGAGTTCGAACTCGGTGTTCGATCTATACCTGAAATCTGGAGCTTTGTTTGTACCACCTTCGGAACCCATCTCGATATTACGAAATTTTTCTCTGATCCATTATGTTTCGACCCCGATCAATCGTACAAAGGCCGAAATCTATTTCGACCGTATACAGATAGTCCCCTCGTTTCTCGAAAAGGATGTGGTGAGAAACGATATGATTTCTTAATGCATCGATTGGATTATAAGTTGACGTTCACATTGGGCTCGATCATGACGCACGTGATAGCTGACCCGTCGATTTAGTTTTTCAAGGCATTTAATGCATGTCAGACGGTGGTCGGCCACCGCTGATATTGAACCGTCATTATTTCAATCTATAAATAGCCTTTCTGTCCACCGTTCATCACTTTTACTTCTTCAATCTTAAAAAAAAATCAAGTTCTTTTTCGTCTCTTCTGAGTTTATTCACTAATCTTTGACTCTTTTCTGCAAAATTCTTCTTCTAAACCACCAAATCTTTGTCACCTTCTTTAAATCCAAAATGGTGAAGACATCAAAAATCGTCCCCCAAAAAGAAAAAGCTTCTTCTTCCCAATCTGCCCCCGACAAAATACCGGTGGATCTACGGCCTGAGGAGTGCGTTTCGGCAGCGTGTGTTCTTACCTCCGATTTCAAACTTGATAAAGGTTTGTCGGTTCCAAGCCGATGTGAACCCGTATCGAGATATATTTGTTCGATAACCCGGGGGAATATCGAGCGGATAAAAAAAGATTGTAACTGGGAGAACAAAGAAGTGGTAGTGACGTCTCCCGAAGAGGATATTACTACTCACATGAGAGGGTTTTTAAGCGTGTATACTTACCCTTTCACGCTAGGTCCCCTCGACCCTGTTATCATAGATTTTTGTCGTAAATACCTAATAACCCTAGGCCAGATACATCCTTCCTTTTGGCGGATCGTTATTTTGATATGATATTTTGTGAATAAAATTGAGGGGATGCCTTTCACCCTCGATCATCTTGTCTGATTATACCGTCCTCGCCTTTTTCGAGGAGGATTAATAGAACTCCAACGTCGAGCTACCAAGGCTCTGTTCTCGAGTATAGACGAGGATAAGGATCAAGGTTGGATAGGCAGATTCGTTCGAGTAAGGACTTCGGACCTGATTCCGACCGAAAAGATATCTTTTCCCGAGGAGTGGAATATAAAACGTAAGTGTAATTCTGCTGTTACTTTCTCCTATTTTGTCATTTTATTTCTTTTCTTACCGATATTCCTCTTTTTGTAATGCAGCGATTCCCTGGATGCCCGGAACAGTTCCCAATCTCAAGAACTGGGTACGAGCTCTAGCTTCGACCTCCACATACGCCGAGCGCTCATGGCGTGATTTGTCAAAGGGCCGATGGGAGGCCAAAAATCATGGTAAGCCCTTTTCTGGTACCTTTTGGTAGTTCGAACGAGATGTTTTCCATATACTTTAATGAAATTTTCCATACGTAGGTGTGGGCAAAGATGCAGTTTTGAGGCCCTCGTCCATCGAGGAAGAGGCTTCGGCCTCTGTCCTAAAGCCGGTGAAAGATAATAAGAGGAAAAGAGCCTCCGCTCCCGAAGATCCAAAACTGAAGAAGAGGACGACTCGTAAGCCGAACAAGAATACCATTCCTTTGACCGTAGAATCAGTTCTGCGTCTAAGGGATGAAGACGAAGAAGAAGAAGAAGAAGAAGAAGAAGAAGAAGAAGAAGAAGAAGAAGAAGAAGAAGAAGAAGATGATGGGTCCGCGCTGGTGGCCCAAACGAAGAAGACCACCGACGTTCCACAAGCAGCTGGATCAATGGTGGTTCATAAGGCTCCGCCTCGAACTGAGGATATATCGGAGAAAGATTCGGGCGGAGTCCCCAAGTTGTTGGAGATCGAAGATGCTTCCCATCGAAGCCAATGGATGGGGGATATGTCTGAAGGGGCTCTCCTCGAATCTCTTTGAACCGAAGAAAATGCTCCAAGTGATTCACTTGGGGCAGTACCAATCGAAGACTCGTCCACCTTCCTTGCTTTTTCCGCAGGGGCGATTCGGGAAGCCCAAGCTTTGGGAGCCCTCGAACTAGACAAGCCTTATGATGGAGAGGATCCTTTTCGTGACTTGTTTACTGGTATAGAGGACGTTGCCGGTACTAGTGATGCATCAGATCTTTTTCACGGGGTGCAACATGCTTTGAATCAGGTAAGCCTTAAATTATTTTGTTGGTATTATCTTTACGTTTGCTTTTCTTTTCTAACTTTGTTTCTTCTTTCTTTGCAGGCCGCGACAGTTCATCGAGAAGCAAGTTCTCGGTCCCGAACCGAGCTGCGTCGATACGAGGCCGAGCTTCAACGTGTTACGGAGGAGAGGAACTCCCTAAAACTCC